TGTTTGCTCGGTCGTAACAGAGAGTCGAGATGTTTTGTGTCGCAGACCATACACTTATGAAGCTTAAGACAGACTGTGTGACTGCACTCTCAGTCGTGTCCCATCCACCGGCGCGCTGGTCAGTCTGGTGAGATGAAAACCGACCTATTGTTAGCTGGACTTTTTTCAGAAAGACATTCCTGAAAATACTGCCTGTAAAACGAATCACTGTTTTAGTCTGAGCCAGCGCCTGGGAATCATTAACTTACTCACCCCTTACACACTGGCTGATGTGTGGGGGTCACACAAGGTCGTAATTCAGGCCATCATCTCTGAGACCCTTTCTCCTTCTGATGGGCTTAACCAAACCTTCATGCAGGCTTCATTCAAAAATCAGTTTAATGCTTAAAATGTGTTTCTGAAGCCAGCGGCTAGGTCACTTCTCAGCGGATTCTTTATTTCCCCCAGAACTGTGAGAAATGTAATTATATTCAATGTTGGGGAGTCAAAAATGTATTATTATTTTGCACATTAAGATACAACCGTTCCACATCTTCCATTGGCAAGGACCACACTGCCAAAGCCAAACAGAGTGGTGAACATCTAGTGGGCAGGAAAGCCTTGTGCTCTTCCAAATATCTGATAGTACTTCAGAAAACATCAGAGAGAGAGCATCCTGCTGTGAGGACACAGGGTGGCGCTGTACAGGCTGGTGTGGAAGGGTGCTGGTCTGACAGAATGGACCAAAATAATGAGAAGACACCTGAGGAACATCGGAGTTAGCAGTCAGATGAACGGCTGCAGGTTCACCGTAGGCACAGCTCCATTAATGACCTTATCAGATTAGCATGAAAAGGGCGGGAGCTCAGCTGCATGGGTCACACTGCGCTGGGCAGACTGATACACGTTAGTTCTGGGAGAAATGTTTAGGATGGGGACGGCAAAATGCAGGAGGCGGCATCATGGCAAAGACACCGGCTGGCAAGCTGAGGGACATGGGGTCTGAGACAGGGGCCGCATACCGTCCCCCGGCACGGACAGCCGGCAGGGAAACCAGCAGGTCATAGTCTATAAAAGACAAACAGCAGGGTCCCGCCTTGGAGCGCCTGATGCTCAGGTCACACACCGTCGCTGGCCCCTACTTACTGCCCTCAAAAGACGACAAGATACTCCAATATTCTTAATCATATTATGAGGTAGATGTTGTGGCAGTACGAGAGAACGTAGAGGAGCGGAAGCACCGGTCCTGAGTGCCGGTGAGCCAAACGCAGCACAAACTGGAACGACAGTTTCCATAAGTAGAAAACGACACGGAAATGGAAGCAATCCTCTCTGATCCGTGTTATTTTAGAGCATGACCTACATCGCGCGATCAGGCCCAGATACCCGATTCCGGATTCACTGCCAGCGTTCGCCATTGCCATCCGCGGAAAGATCCGGAAAAGACCCAGCATTCTGTGGAGGTGAGTGGCTACATTCCATTGCATATGGACTTTGGTTCTGTAAGTTATTAAAAGAGAAGTAGGGGGGACTGACATGGATCTCTCCCCCCCCCCCCCTCACATGGCGGAGTTTCCAGCTTGCAGCATGCCGTGTGTTAATGGGAGCTGCAGTTTAATGGTGGCCAGTCAGGATCCGTCTGCATGAGTCTCACAGAGGCACTCTATCAGACTGTCACCCCCCCCTGTCCGCACATGCCCCTTCCCCCCCCAGCACCTGCTCCCCCAGCGCCGCCACGCTCCGCGGAGCCCATTGTTCTTTCCGGATCCACACTTCCCGCGCGTTTCCGCTACCCATTCACGGCAAGCCGGCCGTGCTCCCCCACCCAGCAGAAATGTGCTGGGGGTGGGGAGCGAGGGAGGGATCATTAGGAGGAGCGTTAGTGGGGCTGTGGGCCGCGGCGATGTGGAGGAACGCGGCCGGCGTCTGCGCTCTGCAATGCGGATCGCCAGTGCCGAGTCGGCGCAGCAGAAAGGGCTGCTTTGTCTCACCGCCGGTGCCCACGTGCAGCCCACCTCCGGCACAGATGCCCCCTGGCACACACACGCACACACACACATACACACGTACACTCACCCCCCCCCCAAACCCTGGAATGCACCCCTCTCTTCCCCCACGGACCTCTGAGGACGGATGACGGCCCCGAGGATGAGATTCAAAAACATAAATAAAACGGCAATGCCAGCCTGTAACTGCTACATGTGCCCCCCCCCTGCACCCCGTCTCCAGCCCCTTCCAGGGCCCACACTGAACCCCCTGGCTCAGCCTTCACCCCCATCGCAGTGCTAGGCGCATCTCAGAATGACATCACGTCTGGGCAGATTAAGAGCAAAGGGACAGAAAGGTATGAAGGTATGAACGTGTGTCTGCACACACGTGTCGGTATGTATGACACACACATGCAAACACAGGCACACGCACACGGACGCACCCCCACCTGGCTGGACGTGCAGACAGTGAGCGCCCGGCGTCGAGCGGTAAATCCTATCCTCCGTCAGCGAGCAAAGCAGTAAACTGTCCAGAACGCCGATCCTGGGGCAGTGCAGCAGAACCGTGAGCGGGGGGGGGACGCTCGGAGGAGCGAGAAAAGAGAGAGAGAAAGCAGGAGGTGGGCTCTGAGAGGCGGGGGGACATACTGGTAGGAGCAGCTGACAGGGTGAAATTGGGGAGGGGGTGAAAAAAGGGGCTTTTATGTTGCTGGTGACATTTTCAGCGCATGACAACAATGGCCATCTGTGGAAAGGCTGGGGGGGGGCACACTAGTGTGGCCAGTTCTGTCAGGCTCAGGGGACCCCTGGGACTATGGGTAGGCACCTGTTGAGCCAGGCTGGGGGAGAACTGTGGGAGGAGCCTGTGGTTTTAGGACGGGAGAGAGAGAGAGAGAGAGAGAGAGAGGGAGGAAGGGGGTAGAAAAAGAGACAAGGGAGAGAGAAGGAGAGAAAGACGGTAGAAAAAGAGACGGTGAGAGAGAGAGGAAGAGGGTAGAAAAAGATGAGGGA